GGAACTCTGTAATGGGGTGTGCGCATAGAATTGGAGAATCATCGCCGCTGGAAATACGATCAATATAAGGTTTTAAGTGTTCGTAAGAGACAAGAGGAATGAGGTTCTTGAAGGTCGAAACATCTGTAGACCCATCAAGACCGTGTTGCTTCAGGTACTCAACATGAGCATTTGTTGATAGAATTTCAGCTAGAACTCGCCGTTGGATTTCATCAGCATTACTTGTGACATCTTCGAGATTTTGCAAGACTTGCTTGTCTTTCTCATCCAGATTCGACATTTTTCTTTAGGTGTTGAAGTTTTGAAAAACAGAGGAGAAATGCAGAGGAAAGTGTATGGGAGCGGTGGGTGATTAATAAATTACTCTCCGTCTCTTTATGTGTCATATCACATCGAATAATTAAGAATCTGGTTAGTGGATTGAGATGAAGGGCCTGTTTGGCGTTGGCCGACCGCAACAGGATTCATCATAAATAACGAAGAAAAAATTGAGTAAAATTAACTCGTGTTCAACGGGTTTAATATTTAATGTAATAACTGTTTGAGCAGCTTCTCACCAAACTCATCACCAAACTCATCATTCCATGATGGTTTCTTGGATTAAAAACCCTTATATAGAATATAGGATCCTTCAACAAAATGGAAGGATGTTCAATTGAGGATACGGAAGATGCAAACTCTTTTCTTCTTTTGGACATTAATAAGCAAAAATAGTGAAAATGTCAATTACATACTTAAATGATACTAGGCTTATTACATAATTAAGTGAAATTCCTACCGATCACTTTTTGGTATCATTTAGTCCATGTATCGAAATTGATAACATTCAAGATCACGTAAGATTATACGCAAAAGATATAGCATATCTTTATTTGTTAAAAACTTTGGTAAAATCTCATTTATCTATTAATTACAATATTTTAGTGGGATTTGCAGATTTATAAGTGTAATAAAAATAGATCACAGTAGAAAGAAAAGAAATAAAAAGTTTATAGATGAGTATTTTCCCAAATAGAAAAATCTGCCTCCGGAATGAACAAGCCAATAAAATGACAAACAAAAATCAATCTCTACCACAAAAATTAAAGAACACCCAAATAGTGCAAATTGATCACAAACTCAAATACATAGAGACTTGCTTAAATTAACTTACCTTATCGAATAACTAGTGGGGGCAAAAAGACCAGGGTGCGGACGAGTGGGATCCTATTTGGGATATTTTGAACTAAAATAACTAGAAAGAGAGTAAATGTGTTAGGATGATTATTTTAGAAACTTATTTACACAGATATCTAAAATTTTCAATTTTAAATTTTTAGATTTTTCATCTAAAATTTTGTTTTAATATCAATTTTACCCTTATTTATTGCATTTACATTTATTATAGTTATTTGTTTTTTTTTCTAAATATAAAAGATTATAATCCTTCAATTATTGTGGGCCCACACAAATTTTCAACGCTAATGCCTTCTAGGATTTACCAATATTATTAATTACAAAAATATCCAAATCGAACGATTTCTCCTTATTCAATTGGTTCATCTCTTCCCTAACCTTTAATTTCCCCTTGTTCCCTAACCTTATTGTTTGAGTGGATGTTTTGATATGTCTCCATATATACACTATAAGATATATCCCCATATATAACCATATATATTGATGACAAATCGATGGAATCAAACTCACTCTAAGATATATACCCATATATACAAGTTCACACCTACATTTTGTACGACTGAAATCTACAAAAATAGAGTGTTAAACCGTAAAAAATCAGAAATCGGAAAAAAAAAAACCATTGAAGATATATAGTATGGAAGGGGTTTAATCAGTACAAAAAAAAAAACCATGAGTTTTCAACCTTGTTCAAATATGAAATCAACTTGGAGGATATATTGGAATGCAAAATATATCATGGTGAGACAAACTAACCTTCCAGTCGGCGAGATGAAGGAGACAAAGGAGAAGCTAAACGGACTGCTCCAAGCGACAGAGAAAAACGGATATGGCGGCCGGAGACAAAGGAGCGCAGACAATGGACAGAGATGAAGAACGCTAACACCGGCTGGAGATGGAGGAACGCAGACGATCGGAGACGAAGGAACAAAGCAGCCTTCGAATGAGAGAGGAAGAAGAAAAGTGGGAGGAAGGAAGAAGGGGTTTTCGAAATTTTTCAATAATGGAAGATTTTGGGGATCTTAAATGAGGGTTGTTTCATGACAAAAGTGTAAATTTTATAGCTTCAATCCTTTTATGTAATTATGATTCCTAGAAAAAACTTTGCTACTTAACCGTGCTCCTTACCTTAATGTGGTCCTATGATAAGAAAACAAGTATTTGGTTGTTGATTTTTTTTAATTATTTTATTAAAATCCATAATCTCATCCAAATCTCTCAAAGTTTCATTTTATTTTATTTTTAAAAATTATTTGGACGATTCTTCTCCCTTTTTTCTCCTCCCCTACCACTTCTCACTTCTTTTTCTCTCATCTTCTTTTTTTCTCAACTTATTCAATACTAATAATTGATCATCTTAAGCAAAAGTTGGAAAAAAATTTAACAACTTTAATCCAATGTCCCAAAACTTCATCAATTATATTCATTTGAAAATAGTTATGAAAAACAAATTGCTGAAGCCTCAATCTAAAATTTGAAGGCAATAAGGCACAAAACGAAACAATAGAAAGGAAAAAAAAACATCATGTTACGCAATTAAAAAATATATATATACGTGTGCACACCTTTAAATTGTGGATAAATATTGGTGGAGATTTTATTTTATTTTTTAACGTAATAGGGTGCATCAAGTTGAAAAACAAAATGGAGATGAAGAAGAGAGAAAAAAAAGGAGGTTAGAGTACTACAAGTTGAGAAGAAAATGAAGAAGAAATGAGAGAAAAAGAAGGGACTAAGAAGTCACAGGGAGAGAAAAGAGAGAGAAGAATCGATTTGGAAATTTTTTCTCTACAAATTTGACGATCTGTGTAGATTTTATACATGGTTGTATCTTGAAGGGACTTATTTTATGATATTGAATATTTTATTGATTCAAAAGATTTAGTAAAATCTACTCAGCCATTAAGTCTAATATTTTAGAAATACATGTAATATAAGTGTGTACAGTAATTAGTATTTTTCCATGTATAAAAATTATAACACCGGAACGAAAAATTAAAATCTCCATCTCATCCACAAAAATCAAACTGACCACTCAAATAGTACTGCAAATGAATCACAAACTTTGAATACACACAGACTTCTAACTTAACTGACCTCTTCAAATGAAGGGGAACTGGTGGGGGCAAAAAGACGATTCCGACCAGTGGGATCCCATTTGGGGTATTTTCTACTAAAATAATTGCCAACAACTTTTGCATCCAACATCTCGACGATTTGGGCAGATTTTACGCATCGAGGTGTCTTGTATTGACTTATTGAAGCACCTTGATTCACCCCTCGTTCCAAGAGTTTATCAAAAGTTCCTGATTCTACAATCTTTATCTCAAGTGGATTGATAACTTTTTTGTGGGACCTTGCTTGACGGTATAATGAATTAAGCGACTCTTCAACAGCGAGACAACAATCCTCATAGACTGAAGATTGAATAATGGAGATTTCTTCTTTAAAATGAATTTTCCAGTATAACACATAGTGTCCAGGAAATGTTGAGTTTTCTGCGTAGCTAGTTTAATCGACAAGAGTAGCCCCAAATGGGTTCAAGAGCACACTAGCATCTTTTATTGCATTATGAAGCTCCACTTCATCTGTTATCTCAAAATCCAAGCTTAAAATGACGTTTTTTCTGCACACAAAACTAAAACTTGGAGCTTTATATATAAATCCTGTCACATGAACAATGTCACCCATACAATAACGATAGAGCCCTGCAATACAAGTTACATTAGCTAACTTATGTACACATAATAATATGTTTTCGTATAAGCAAAGTATAATCAATATGAAAAGAAAAAAAGTTATGTTACCACTTACCAGCATAAGTGGTGACAACAATCTCATATTCTTGTCCTAACTTGACATCAACGAGATCAACTAATTCTTGGCTTACTTCTCTATCGTTTGCCCTATCCACTGGCAAGAACTCGAAATAGGCCATGGTGGGAATAAAAGTGTAGGAGATTTCCTCTGGTTTACACAATGGATCTATGTTTATGCCAAAGTAACACTCTGAAGAAGCATAGAAGAAACTACTAAGAGGCAGAGATTTAGTGTAGTAATTAAGTTGGGGAATGTACTGTGACATGCTTCCCGTCACAACACCACTAATGAATTTGGCGCTTGGCCACAATCTTGTAACGATTCCTTCCCATGTTCCTTTGCTGCATTCAGATCCAATAAAATCTGCGAGCTCAGGATCAGGTTTCAGAATACTCATAGCCGATTCCCTCACTAATGGGTCTTCAATTTTGTTATCTATAGTTTCGGTTCGTATATCATTTGCTAAAAGAACCCAATGATTTTCGAGGAACTTCAAAACATAAATTAACGTAGAGGCAAAAAGAGCACCAACTCGAACAACTTTCTGGTTCTGGCAGAGCCCACATAGCAATTGACAGTATAGACTTTGGTAAGCGTCTGTGCAGCGAATGATGTTAATAAGGCTTGTATAAGAACTTCCAATTTCCTTATTATTGAAAAGTGAACTTTTGAACAAACTTGTAGACAGAGAATGAGCAACAATTCCAGCTTTAGTTCTTGACTCAGCCCTTGCGAAATTAAAGAACATTTCTTTGCCATTGTGCATACCTGGAAACAACTGTTTCAATCTTGGCTCCACATAGTTAGGAGTAGACAACCTCCTCACAAACTCTTGTTCAAACATTGGGATTAACTTTTGTTCTCCTCCTGATGTCCCAGAGCTACAACAAAACATTGTCTTCTGAATTAATTAGAATCCATCTAATTGGCAAAAGATCGCATACTATATAAAATTAAGAAAAACAGAGTATCAAAGAAATGAATAAGAGGTTTGAAGAAATCATATCTTGTTTTAGAATAGATGGGTCACCTGATAAGGAACTCTGTAATGGGGTGTGCGCATAGAATTGGAGAATCATCGCCGTTGGCAATACGATCAATATAAGGTTTTAAGTGTTCGTAAGAGACAATAGGTACGAGGTTCTTGAAGGTTGAAGCATCTGTGGAGCCATCAAGGCCGTGTTGCTGCAGGTACTCAACATGAGCATTTTTCGATAGAATTTCAGTTAGAACTCGTCGTTGGATTTCATCGGCATTACTTGTGACATCTTCGAGGTGTTGTAAGACTTGCTTATCTTTCTCATCTAGCGTGGTGTCTAAAGCATTGGACATTTTT